GACCATGAATGGAGTAATATTTCTAGTGAATGAGTGCAGTGTGAATGATTTCATATGTAAATATTCCAATGTCAGTCCACATCAACTCTGGTTCAATTTCAAATTTATAAATATTTATATGATTGAAGGACTGTGTCAATAGTAAATAGAAAAGTTAATTGCTTTCTAGAATTTGTGATGATAATTTGAAAATATCAAAAATTGAATTAGCTGATTCATTTAATGCAGCAATCCAATATTAATTTAAGTCATACATGACGCCATTTTGAATCTCACTCAACTCACGCATAAAATTAAAATGATGCAAACATCAGGTGATTTTCCATTCAATGCGAGATCTCGCGTAATATGTGGACAGAACGTCTGTTTCAAAAATCAAATGATTTGATTTTCAACTTGAATTTCTTTTTCCAACAGTTCAATGTCAATCGGGTGGAAATAAGGTGATGAGATATTCTTACTTTATCAAAATGAACATCATCGAATGAGTCTAGCATATTATTATTAAAACGAGGAAAAACACAAAAAATAATTTTGCATTTGTTAAATCCCACGCAACATTTTGTCGTCACTACATCTTGAATTCTGTTCAGTTCACACATGAAATAATAACTCATCGTCCATAGTTTTTGTTCATGTTCAATGTTTTGTGCTGTACATTAGTGCAGTTGTTGAAAACTGTGAGAATAATTCAAGTAATATTGTGGTTATGATACAGAACCACTTCACCCTTAAAGTTGCTGGCGATTCTAAGCAAGTACACATTTCCTCAGTATAGGTGATCTCTATTTACTTAAACTAAAACGGGGAGATTTATTAATCCTTGAGATCCTGGCTGTGTAACCTTTGACCCATGAACATTTAATAAATACCGTTTTACAACTAAACTTCAGCCTAAAAAGTCGAAACCAAAAAAAAAATCGAAGAATGCTGTTTATTAAAAAAATAGCTTACCAACTTCTCCGTGCATGTTTCTGAACTTATTTCCGAGATGACACATGTGATTACTTGCAGTCTTGTAAATTTCGCTGTCACTCGAGAAACAGCATCTGTTTGTTGTTTACATCGTCGTATTTCAATGGAAATTTGCTGACAATCGTCAACATCGTCAGTAGACATGATCATACTACATTAAACACGATGTGTTAAAAAATAGTTCAGTGGATACTGTCTTAAAGTGGTAAAAACTTCGGAAATGTGAAAATATCAAAATAAACATGCTCGCTCGATGTGCGCCGCCATTTTGAATAATAAAAACATTTGCACATCACCACTTGAGGGCGTTTAGTTCAATATCCGCGAGTGGGCGTGAGACACGACATAAGGTGAGCATTTATGGGTGAGCGTAGAATAGAATAGACCAGAAAAGAATATCTTATTTGACATAAAATAAAAATATACGCAATATAACATCTAAGGTCAAGTACACAAACAACATACAATGGACACTGACAGATAAAACGTAAGTTTTACAAAACATAAAAAATGTAATTCACAAAATTAGCAAGGATATATTCATAATGAAGATATCATTTGAACCTAATAATTTTTTACAAATTTGTCTTGTTTTTTTGTAATCTCAGAATGCTCTCATCATATAGTGAGATTATATTTTAGAACTGAAAACGTGCTTCTGATATTACTTGATGTTAAAACACCGTGACTGATTTTTTCTCTCTCTCTCTGTCTGCTTGCATTTTTTGAAAACAAATATTCCAGTAAAATGGTCGATCCCTTCACGGCGCATGAATCACTCACGTGATCATAATACATACCGGCATATTAAAAACAGTTTATTATATTCATAATATTCATTCTTTTTCACCCGTTAACCTGACAGACACTAGAGAGACAGTTTTCTCTTCAAGGCTCTGCATATTTTCACTGAGCACATCTATACAGTAACAGAAACATTTTATTGTATATTTAGAAAAATATGTAA